GGGTGGAAGGTGTAGTAAAGTGGATGAACTCCTCGTGAGAGCATGAGGCGGCGCCGATACAGTCATCAATATACCGGAGGAAGAGGTGGGGGATGGGGCCAGTGTAGCTGCGGAAGAGGGATTGTTCCACGTATCTGACAAAGAGGCAGGCATAGCTTGGGCCCATGCGGGTACCCATGGCCACCCCTTTTGTCTGTAGGAAGTGGGAGGAATTGAAGGAGAAGTTTTTCAGGGTAAGGACGGATGTACCTGCATCCCAAGGACTGTAGCTGTTCAAGAAGGCAGCTCGCACCCACCTTACCCTGGGCTGCCTTAGCTAGCGATGCCCACATCCCATGAATGAATTTAAAAAACATCAGCTGGTATGGAATGGAATGGACTTGAAACTCTCAATTAATAAAAGGAAAACTTAGTATGAAAGTTTGAAATATTAAAACACAGTCAGCTAATGAGAAAACAACTCATCTACAATGCAATTGGAATAAAATTACAGGGACATGAATAGGGGAGTAATGGCCTACCAATAACATTAAGTAGTTTCCATAATTCAGGAGGAAAGTTAAAAATTATATGTGTGCATTTTTATATAATTTGCATCCGCACCATCTTTAAAAGATGCCCATGCACCCAAACAAACACTGGCATTCCAAAGCTGCCCTGCATGCTCAAAGACGTTGCTGCAGCCTCTCAATCACAGTGTTGGTGTGCCATGCAATACGTGTGTGTGCTTCCAGAGCACCCTGTCAATGCACAGTAGAAGTGCCAGGATGATTGTGATGTGTTGACAAAAGCCACGTGCCACAATGTCTGTGGAGGAAGGGTGCATTCAACTGGTGCCATGTCTTTTCTCCACCTATCTGCTCCTCTATCCACCTTCTATCATCACCTCCCCCTCTCTCGATTTATTTCAGAGCCCCCTTCCCCTCCCCTATTTCTGAAGAAGGGTCCAGACCCGAAACGTCACCTTTCCTGCTCCTCTGATACTGCCTGGCCTGCTGTGTTCATCCAGGGATTGTGCCCTGAGACATTGTTTGGTACTGATCAACATGGAGGTCCTTTGGAGCAAGCAGGAAGCTGAATTCTCCAGGTCTCTTGACATGAGACTTATTTGGCAATTTTTGTGAGATAAAAATCTGAACATTAATGAGGTGAGTTGAGCCGTTAACAAAGTGTTTAACAAGCCGTAGTTGGCATCTCGTGCTGTCTAAAGAGAAACTCACCACACTGCTTATCAAAAATATAAAGGATGGAGTGAGATGCTCCCCATATTGAGATAGGCCTCACTGGACTTCTCATCACAAAGCTCCCCATAGTCCATGAGCCGTAACAAATTCCACCCCTTGTTGATGCATTACTAAGTGTTCAGGCAGATTTGGTCAGTACCTGGATCATTCTATAACACTTTGCTTTGAAACCTCTACTTGAAAACTCTTCCCAAATGCAGTAGTCTGGGTTATGGATGCAATAGAGTGTGTACACTCTACACTACACAATGTTGCAGTCTTGTTCTTATAATTGTTATGTTTCTGTCATGGTGTGTGAATCAGACAGCCTGCTCACACTCCCCAGCAGGAAGAATGGGAAAACTGCAAACTATTTCACTAGAGAGACAATGCAGGACCTAGTGGTGCAGGGATATTTGGGTGAACTGATATACAAACCTCATAAAGTTAATGTGCAGGAACTGCAATTGATTAGGAAGTGAAATAGTTGTTTATTATACTAGGAATGGCAAGGAATTTATTAATATAAAGGTAGAGAGATTTGAATGCAGCTGAACAGGATGTTGGTGAGACCACAATAATATACAATATTCAGTTATGGACTCCTTATTTAAATAAAGATTTATAGCTTTTGAAGCAGTTCGGAGAAAGTTCAATCAACACCTTTCTGGGATGAAAAGATTATCTCATGAGAAATGGTGAACAGGCTAGACCTATGTTCAACCGAATTTAGAAGAACAAGAGACTCTATGACTCTCAAAGAAAGCAGTTAGAGTATAGAATTCTTTATCTCAGAAAGCCATGGAGGTGGGTTATTGTACTTATTCAAGGCTACGTTAGATGGATTTCAATAGACAAGGGAGTCAGGATGTAAAAGAACCTCCAACAGTGGGTGGCAATGGTGAGGAAGGGCAACTGAACAAGATAAATGGACCCCCTCTACATATAAAAGTACATTTTAGAGGATAAGCAAGACTCATAGGAAAAAGGAGCAGACAGACATCACAATACAAACCATAGACTTCACTCCATGAAAATACAATAAGTATCTTCTAGTGTTTAATGTTCCTTCATGGTTACAACGATCTGAATAGAGAATCCTTGCTTCATGATCTTTGGGCTGTCTGTGCATTCAAATTTCATGTCAAAAACCATAATGGAATACAGAAGGAAAATTCAGCTGAGACCACAACTCCTCTCATAGAATCATACAGCCTGCGGAAACAGACCCTTCGGCCCAACTTGTCCATGCCAAGAAGTCCCATTTGCTTTGCATTTGCCCCATATCCCTTTAAAACTTTCCTATCCATGTACCTATCCAAATATCTTTTAAATGTTGTAATTGTATCCGCCTCTACCACCAGCTCATTCCATACACTCACCACCCTCTGTGTGAAAATGTTTCCCCTCAGTTCCCTTTGAATCTTTCCCCTCTCACCTTAAACTTATGCTGTCTAGTTTTGGACTACTCTAACCTGGGGAAAAAGACCTTATCTATGCCCCTCATGATTTTATAAAACATCTACAATCTTGTTGAACAGGCCTGAAGGATCAAATGGTTAATTCGCCTTCTAAGTCCTCAGTCCTATGATCCAATTTTTTTTTGCAATGATTGGTAACCTTAACGAAGTACCAGAAAATTAAAAGCAGATCAACAGGATTGGGTTCACATATGGCAATTGGACACCTATGTAAGATGCCAAAGACTATCAAATGAATGATCTTACAGTGACAGCTGTTCCTGCAAACCTGATTGATGACACCAAGTCAACCAATTCAAATTGGATTCTGCTTACAAAGCTAACAAAATGCCGAGCAAATATTCTGACACCTAGCAATGGCCTTTTAATGGTGTTGCTAAGAAATATTTTTCTCTCCAGTAGTGTATGAGTAAATGTTGTCATGTTGATTTTGTAGATTTTATCGTAATGGAAATCTATTAAATGAGTAATGTTTAGACAGATGGGAGTACCTGAGTACATTAAAAAATCATGTGTGTAAACAGATGGCAGATGGCTCCTGGAGAAGTAGAAAGATTAATTTAACAAAGTGATTTTGATGTCATTGTGCAGCAAAATTTCACAAATGTCTTACGGCAATCAAGATCTTAAAATGGATATAGTCTAAATGTGTGTATCATGTACGTTATCGGGTCTTCCTTGATGACTCTGTTGAGAAAACCACCGGCAAGCCAAAACTGAGTCATACAAATCAGTAGAACTTGGAGATCAATGCCTGGTATGCGATGAATTAACTGATTTCAACTGCAAGTAGATGAGGTATTCTACAAAAGCAAAATATTGTGCATGCTGAAAACAGGACCTTTCACAGTAAATGCTGGTGATTCTCAATGAGGCAAAAATCAAATGGAAAACAAGAAACAGAACCAATGTTGCACCTTAATGATCTTTTGTGAAAGCTGGAAAAATATAAAGATGTAATGGAGGGTGTGAAATAAGAAAAGGGGATGTCTGTCTTAAGGGGGAAGACAGGAAAGATTGAATGGCAAAAAGATTAATGGGGAATGGCAGAAGCTGGCTTCAGCACACTTGTGTTAGGGAGATGAACAAAAATACAACTTTATTCAGGGATCTAGTTTCTCACTGTTATTACCCTGCTGGATAGTACTGGTTGGCAAAGAGCTGGGTCAGAAAGGCTGTGATGATCTGACAGTGTGAAAGTCTGCTGACCTTCATCATGAGGCTGACCCAAGAAGAATGACTGATTGGATAAGGTAGGGGAGGATTGGAGGCACCTATTCACATTTATCACAGTCAGTCAGTAATTTGAAAGCGAAGCCAGGGAATGGAAACGTGAAAACTTGGGGGAAGGAAAAATACAACTGCTTATAACTGATTTTGTTTTACAAAATTACATAGGATACAGACAAGGCAGGGTAGAGGGAGCAATGGTATAATACCTGAAATTTGTACAATACCACAAAATACTGTATACATTCAGCATCTAAACTACAATGCAACATTTTATGGACTGTAGATGCTAGGACAATATAATTGATGGCATTTCATTTTACAATACATCAAGGCTACTACACCTGAATTGGTACATAAAATTCTCTTCACTATATACCAGAGGAAGTCTCCCTCTGTTTGATATTCATAGTGGAATGGTAAGGATGAGTGTAAATAAGATACTACCACTAGCAATTCTTTCCACAATTAGAAAATGTGAACAAATGCATACTTGACAAATTTTTCGTTATATTTGTGTGGTGCTGTGTATGCTCTGGGATTGCTGCAATAATATATATTTGAACTTTTTTCAGGGTTAATATCACTTTATAATCAAATACAGCATAAAGGCTTTGAGAAAAGTAACAGGTCATGATGTTCTGCTCCTATGATGCTGCTTGGCCTGCTGTGTTCATCCAGCCCTGCACCTTGTTGTCTCGGATTCTCCAGCATCTGCAGTTCCTACTATCTCAGGTCATGATGTTTGGTGTTTGAATAATTTCCTAACAGATAAAACTCAAAATGCAGTTGGAGGAAGCCTTAATTCTTCTGAAATCTTGAGATTCAAGTGCAAAATATCTCTGCTGCATGTTGGATTTTTCTTTTATCGTTTTTATATAAGATGAAAAGCCCTTCATTCTCGCAATACTCAGTAGCTAAATTTCTTTATTTGCCATGCTGTAGAGAATGGGCATCAAACTGAGTTTTAGATTTTCCTTCAAGATTAATTTTAATAATCTGATTCTGATTTATCTGCTGCAGTAGTCTTAATACCAGTGTGAATAACCTTTCACAGTGTCCTTGTTAATCAGATGCAGCCTTTTAATCAGAGGATGAAGATTAAGGTTGCCATATGTGAAGCTATCATTGTCCTCTTGTTGTGGAAGCTGTGCTGCCACATGATGCATGTATGTTGCCTTCTTCATAGACACATCGTTTCTCTTCAGGCTGTCAAGGCTAGAAGTAAAGGTGAAAACATGGGTTAAAAGTGAAGCTCGCATTCCACCACTATTAGTTCTACCAATGTTCTGTTCTAATCAGTTCTACTCATGGACTAAAGTTTGGCATCTTAGAATCCCAATAGTGTGGAAGCAGGCTATCCAGCTCATTAAGTCCATGCTGGCACTCCAAACAGCATCCCACCCAGATCCACCCCATCCCTGTAACCCTGCAGTTTCCATGGCTAATCCACCTACACTATGGGCAATTTAGCATGGCCATTCCACCTAACCTTCACATCTTTGGACTGTGGGAAGAAACCAGAGCACCCAGAGGAAACCTACAAAGACACAGAGAGAATGTGCAAACTCCACAGAAACTGGCTGGAAATGAAAAATAACAACAAGGCTAGAATTGAACCCAGGTCCTTATCACCATGAGGCAGTAGTGCTAACCACTGAGCCACATATCACCCCAATCTGATTCTTCCTAAGGATGCTCATGACTTTGAAGTTTCTTCTGCAGACTTAATATATACGAATGCAACAGTAAGAAAAATTTGCATTGTTTTGCAACTTCAGGATGCTCCAATTGTTTTATCGACATTGAAGCACTTTTCTCAGTGTAGTCACTGCTTTAATGTAGGAAGTGTAGCAGCTATTTTTTGCATAGTAAGATCCCACAAAAATGATAGTCAGAGATTTTGTTTTAGGGTTTGGTTGACACATGCAATTCAATGCAATGGAGTGGCACTTGGGGTTATGTATTCATGTTCCTGGACCAGGGCTTGAACCCTATACCTTTTACTCAAGTGCTACCACTGAGCAACAGTGTATGGACTCATTGGCTAAAAATGCAATAAACTAGAAACATGACCTCATAGTGAGTGTTAAAGAGGCTCGGGTTTGGGAATCATGATTCTGCACTCAGTTTATAATGATATTATTTACTTGATTAATGCTGGGATATGTCTCCAAAGTGTTGAATATCAGCAGGTTATTTGACTGAGCTATAGTTGCGTCCTAACATAGCTCATTGCCTGTTGCCAGTCCATAGACAGTGATCGGGAACAGGAACCTCAGCTGGTATTGTCTACCCTCCTTAAACCAGGAACATGGATTCTGTTTATGCCAATCCTACCATCAACTTTATGGAGGCTGGCTAATACAGCATGAAGCAGAGATCCAAAATTCTTAGTCTGAACGGCTCAAGCTTATTAAGCATTATGTTAATCCAGTAAACCACTGGAATAATCATTTTTACTCAATTTAATCTCTTCCTCTTTCGAAAGCAATCAGAAAGAATGATCCCATTTGTCCTGTTCCAGTAGAGTGTTCATTCATCATGTATCAGTCAACAGAATGAGGTTACAGGATAATATTAGGACCTTAGGGAGTATCATCGCTGTGTCTGGGTTCCACACATGTCATTTTGAGCAGGAACCATAACCTGAATTTTTTCCCAATGTCACAATGTTGTGGTTTTCCACTCCCCCTGACACCTTCAGCATTGAGAGCTGTTGGTACTTTTTAAAGAAAATGACAGCTTTAAGTTTGTTCCAAAATACCAAATATCAGTGTAGACATTATATACATCATTAAGCACATGTTCTGGAATGGTACAATATTGTCAAAATGTAACGATAAAATGTTGTATGTTTTAAAGGACATGAAAGCAAATAAAGAGATGGAGTGGTTTCAGATAAATTTGAGATTTAGGGTGACTAACCATCTGTGTTTAAATGGATGGTTGGGTCTTTGGATTGGACAATTATTAACACCCACTCAGAGATATTAACACCCACTGTTGTGATGATACCATGGCTTTAAGAGGTGTATTTTGTCCCGTTTCTTTCATGAGAAACTTTTTTATATAACTAAAATTGAATTACATCTGGAACACAGCACTTTACAATTGCCTTAGCATAAGAAAACGTTAGGATCTAGGCTATTTCCTTGATAAAGTTGAAAGGGGTTTAGTCTGGTTCATAACATTGTTTAATCCAGACATTAATACCTAGAAATTGACGTTGATCGTATAAAGAGGATAAACATATTACATATTCATAAGAGATTCCTTTATCTACTTACACAGCAGCATTAACCATGGGAAATAAATAATGGAAAAACAATACACTGGGGCAATATTTACCCCTGGAATTGAGAACCCCCAGAAAGGGGAGACTTAATCAGCTCCAGTTACAAGAAGAGAACGTGGACCAATTCACTACAGTCCACTGTAACTTATTCCTGAATAGCACTGAATTGAAGTAAAGAGACTAATTTTAACCCAGCAAGCAGGCTTGAAAGGGAGTGGGCCTACACAGGTAAAATTGCCTCCAAAAGTCTATTGCCCTTCTGTTGTTGGACTCCTACATGTTTTCGCCATAACAGTATTGAGGAAAGTTTGATTTTCACTACCGTGGCCTCCCATTCTTTCCACCCACAACTATGTTGCCCCTTCCCCACCATCTCACTTGTCTTCCTACACCCAGTATGCTCTATCTGAGCACTGATGATAAAGTTTGTGCAACTTAATTCTCATTTACTAGTTACGGCTTTCTGCCCAATTCAGGCAGGCAAACAGGCAGCAGTTTTTAAATGAAGCCCAGGCCACCAATGGATAAAATAATCTGGGCTGTGAAATAATAATGATCAGAGAGATTCAGTTCTTCATACCCCTGCTGCCCATACTATCTACCCAAAAATCAGTTATAACTCCGATCCCTGCCCACCCACCCTTGAATTACAACCAAGAAAAAACATTTTAAGGTGATCAAATAAAAATAATGACAAGGTATTTTTTAAAATTGTAGTCATGTTGTAAAATGCTAAAATAAACAGGAAAATACACAAGACAGAGATCATTAAACATTAGCGTACACAGCAATACCTGGAAACTTGTTTTTTGCTGCTTTTGTGCTTTCATTCGTTTGTATCTTGCCATTTCTTCCATTTGCAAGCCATGAGTATTTTGCCTGTGGGAACAGAGTCATGAGGAAGAACATTTTGGGATGAGGTGAGATAGTGACAGCAATATTTTTGTTTATCTGTGTTTCATTTGCAAAGGTGCCGGTCAGGCTCTGATTATTTTGCTTACCCTGGCTTCAATTCTGGAGGTTTCGGTAATGGCTTGGTAAAACCCTCTTTCCCTATCAGCCAGTAGGTCTGCTCAAAGCCTTGGCCCTTTTGAAACAAAATGGAGAATGATATCTGACTGTTTTCTTTTCAGAAGCACTGAGAACAAAACTGGAGAAGTTCTTATTCCGGGATGTGGTTTTTGCATACCATCAGTTCAGTCCTTTCTCTGGGCTCCAGCTTATAACCTTCATTCAGATTTATAAGAATTTTAACAGTCGTGTGATTGACATGAATACGATAAGCTGTAAAGATAGACAAGAGAAATAATATTATTTTATCGATACATCACAATCAGCTATAGCACTCCTTGAACTGAGTTACACTCTCTCATGCCCAGAAGTGCATTCAGTATAACCTCAATACAGGCAGCAACATAAGCAAGACAGGTGGAAGTGTAAAGTTACAAAGCCTTATTAGTAGATGAAGTGACTGGACAAAACTATGGAAAATGGATTTCACTGTAATCAAATATGAGGTTGTCTACTTTGGGCATAAAAATGTTAGAGCTGGATGCTTTCCGGAATATGAACAGATGGAAAAGGTGGAGATTCAAAGAGACTTAGTGGCTTCAGTACGTTGAGCATTGGAGTTATGTTCCATCGGCTTATGATGCAGACTAATGCCAACCGTGTGCTTTCAATTCCTGCTCCAGCTGAAGTTATTACAAAGGACCATCCTCAATTTCTCCCCTCACCTGAAGTGTGGTGATGCTCAGGTTAAACCACCACCAGTCACTAGTGTCCCCCACATCCCCTTCCCCCACCACCCTGACTGATATCCATGTCTTGGACCGAATGTAATGCAGATTTATGAGAATAACAACTGCACTCACAGCTGCTAGACTGGCACTGGGGCAAGTGGTGAAGGAACCAGCAATACTTCACCTCATCCTCAGTAATCTATCTGCCACAAATGCATCTGTCCATGACAGTCTCAGTAAGAGACATTATGGATATGAAACCCCATCCACTGTGTTGTTTGGTACTGTGACTGTGCTAAATGGGATGTCTTCGAACAGCTGTAGCAACTGAAGACTGGGCACCCATTAGGGATTTTGTGCAGCACAGTATTCAGCAGCAGCAGAATTGTACACTAACACAATCTGTAACCCCAGGATACAACATATCCTGGTTCTACTGTTACCATTCAAACAGGGGATCAACCCTGTTTCAATTAAAACCGCAGGAGGGCATGCCAGGAGCAGCACCTGGCATACTTAAAAATGAAGTTTCAACTTGTTAAAGCTATAAAACAGGACCACTTATATGCCAGAAAATGATAGACAGAGCTAAGAAGTCCACAATCAATGGATCAGATCTAAGCTCTGTCGTCCTGTCACATACAGTCGTGAATGGTGGTGGACAATTTAACTACTCATTAGAGGAGTAGGCTCAACATATATCCCCATCCTCAATGATGAGGGAGTCCAGCAGATCAGTACAAAAGATAAAGCTGAAGCATTCAGAACAATCTCAGCCAGAAGTGCCAAATGGTTAATCCATCTCAGCTTCTTCCAGTCATCCTCAGTATCACAAATGCCAATCTTCAGCCAATTCAATTCACTCCACGTGATATCAAAAATCAATTGGACGCACTGGATTCTGCAAAAGCTATGGGTGCTGACAATATTCTGGCAATAGTACTAAACACTTGTGCTCCAGAATTTGCTGCATTCCTAGCCACGCTGTTCCAGCATACCTACAACACTGGCATCTACCCAACAATGTGGAGAATTGCCCAGGTACATCCTCTACATAAAAAGCAGGACAAATCCCCACCCAGCCAATTACCATGCCATCAGTCTTCTCTTGATCATCAGTAAAGTGATGGAAGGTCTCATCAACAGTGCTACAAAGCAGCACCTGCTCAGCAATAACCTGCTCTGTGATCAGAGATAGTAGGAACTGCAGATGCTGGAGAATCCGAGACAACAAGGTGCAGGGCTGGATGAACACAGCAGGCCAAGCAGCATCATAGGAGCAGAGAGGCTGACGTTTCGGGCCTAGACCCTTCATCAGAAAAGGGGGAACA